CATGAAGGCAGGTTGACCACATTCTACATGTCTGCTCAGAGAACAAGGCATAAAAAGACAGTGTCCCCTCTATTTTCAGAAAGTGTTACAGCCAAACAAAATCTATTTCTAGGACTAGCAGTTTCTTTCTCTAAGAATGCATAAAATGGGGAGAACCATTATTTAGCTTTTTTTTTTAATTATTAAATCATTTCTCTGTGATCATCATAACCCCTTTGACCAGTATGGATTCTCTGTGTGCATTTGGTCATCTTTGCAGAAGTAAGCTCTGGGCTGTGCACAGGAGAGATGCTCACTTCTTGCTTTGTACTGATGCTGTTGGTCACATGACAGGTGGAAGGAAGCCAGTGATACCTATGGATGCCACTTTTTTTATTCTTTTAGATGTACATGATAGTAGAATGTATTTTGACATATCATACATACATGGAGTATAACTACCCATTCTTGAGGTGGCACATGCTGTAGAGTTATACTAGTCATGTATTCATATATGAATATATTCATATGTGAACACAGGAAAGTTATGTCCAATTCATTCTCCTTCCTACTCCCATCCTCCATTTCTTCACCTTCATTCCCTTTGTCTAATCCCATGAACTTCTATTCTGCTCCCCTCCTTTTCTGTATGTTAGAATCCACACATCAGCGAGAACATTCAGCTTTTGATTTGGGGAGATTGGCTTATTTCACTTAGCATTATAGTCTCCAGTTCCATCCATTTACCAGCAAATGCCATGATTTCATTCTTCTTTTTGGCTGAGTAATATTCCGTTGTGTATATATACCACATTTTCTTTATCCATTCATCTGTTGAGGGGTACTAGCTTGGTTCCATAGCTTAGCTATTGTGAATTGAGCTGCTATAAATGGATGCCACTTATAAACATTAATTAAGATGAGAAAAAATGACAAAGATAAATGTTCTGGAAAAGGACTTGAAGAGTAAAGTGATGAAACCCATTATTCTGTATAATCATTACATAGCAAGAAAAATAAAAATGAAAAAAAATTAAGGAAAGAGGAAAGTAGTGAAGGAGAGAAGAAAGATCAAGACTTTCCTAGTAGATGCCCGCAGCAATCGTCCGGCCACTATCAACAGCATTAGGATTTTCAAACCTCTGCCCCTGCTTACCATAAAGTCATCAAATGTGTTGCTGTATACTATAAACACAAATTGACATGTTTTACTTTTAAAATGACAAGAGTATAGAAGAGGATATGGGGTTTCCTACATAAAAGTCCTGGAATTAAGTCATTTATTTGACCTTGATCAAAAAGAGAGGTTTAAGATTTTAAAATGTTTATGATTGTTTATTGTAATTTTAGGATCTTATTTTATTGTATTGTTTATTGTCATTTTAGAATCTTATTTACCTACATCATAGAGAAAAGGGACCAAAATCTCAATACTCCTTCACCAATCTTAAGTAAACAAGGAAGCAAGTTAACTTATTTATCACTGATGCAATTTGTTACTCTCTTAGAAATATAGTTGCTTGCCACTGTGCTGAAAATAACTCACTTAAATCTTAGTAAATATCCTACTGTATATGTTTAATTTAAAGAAATTACCATTAGTTACATCATTTAATTTAATTCATCATTAGTGGCCTTAAAAATGTTCTTCATTTGCTCTGGTTGTCCTCAGGTAAAACACTACTCACAAGTTAATCATTGAAACCTGATTAAACTAATCTTGTACATTTTGAAGTAAATACCTTTAATTTACGTTTTCAGCTCTTGCAAGTTTCACATTTTATTGAGAACAAAATATCTCTCCAACCCCCAGCTGCTTCAGAAGGAAAGTTCGAAGCTTGTAGCATGTTATTCTATATGTCAAGGTTCTATTCTGTGTAATCATAAGACTTATTATGTGGCTATAATCCTACTGCATTATTCTTTTTTATTTTTTATTTTTAAGTGCATATTTGAAGGGCAAAGATGACTTCAATGGGACCTTGGATTATATAGAGAGAGATGTCCTCATAAATTAGTTTGCACCACAGTTTTGCTCCTTCTTTCTTGCTACAGCCTATGGATCCTAACTCTTGCTACAGCCATAGGATCCTATGATCTTAGGATCCTAACGTCATAGAAATCTGTCCGGGTTTTCCTTTTGCATTAGTGCCTCTTCAATGGGCTCTTCCTGGACATTATGATTTAGGTATCAAGTGTCCTACAGAGGCCCATGTGCTAAAGGCTTGGTCGCCAGCCTGGGGCACTACTGGGAGGTTGTGGAACCTTCAGGTAGTGGAGACTAGTGGAAGGAAGTTAGATCATTGGTGGTGTATCCTTGTGGGGAATATTGGGACCCCAGCCCCTTCCTCTCTCTCACTTCCTGGCCACCACAAGGTGAGCATCCTTCTCCACCCAGACTCTCACCATGTTGTACTGTGCCACAACAGGCCCAAAGCAATGTAGTCCAGTGACATGGACTGAAACCACTCAGACCATGAGCCAAACGAACCCTTTCTTGCTTTAAGTTGCTAACTCAGGTATTTGTCACAGTGGTACAAAGCTGACTAACACACTGATCCACAAGTGTCATCATTCCCAAGTTTCTGTCTTTCTTTTTATTTTTTTATTTTTTGACTAGTTAGGTATTAGTCTCTCTTGCTCCTCCAGGCAGATCATTCTCTCTCTAGACATCCTGTGGTTACCAGGCCAGGAGAACACCCCAGACTTTAACTTCCAGGCAGGTAGAACTTCAAGAGTGATGATATTTTTCAGTGGATTGGGGAAAGTCAGAAGTCAAAGGCTAACAGGTGCAGAAGGAGCATCTACCTGCCTGTCTCCTGCCTTGCTCTGCAAACCACTGCTCCCTGGAATGCCTGTGAAAGGGTCCCTCCTGAATTTGGGGCATCCTTTCTTGGCTCTGGTCCTTCCTTTGCCACATAATCATGTTTTCACTAAGCAGATGCCGCTTGAATCACAGTATGGGCCACTTTGGGAAATTTTGCATTAATGCATTAAATCACTGAAAAAGTACTTTCTGGTATTCCCACCACTGGATGGGATGGCACTTTGCTAGACACTGGATGGGCAAAAACAGAATCCCTTCCCTCAAGGAGCTCATAATTTAGTAGACTAACCAATTTCAAAAGTGATAAAATCACCCCCACCCCCACCCCCATCATTTGTCCTGAATCCAGAAAGTAAGAGGCAGGAATCAAAAAGGAGACTCAATGTGAACAGAGATTGGCAACATTGTCATAAGCTCACAGATGCACTAGTGCACCATAAAAAAGGCAAGACCTGCCCTCTCAAAAGTCCACGTCTGTCACCGAGTGTGGATGTTTTATTTGGGTTTTGTTTATTAATTAGCCATTTATCTCTCCCTCTTTGAATATCTGAAATGACATTTGTGATATTTTTAGAAAGTCATTTTGGTTTTTCAGGACAACTCTTCATATGACAATTTTTGTATTGTAGGAAGCTTTTAAAAAAAATCAGGCTGTCAGCAGGAAATCAAGTCAGCTCTTGACGAACACACTGTGTTAGTCAGAAGAAAATCTTCCACCCTGGTGCTACTTAGGCTTGGGGAAGTCCTGAGCTTGGATATGAACTCACCATAAGTTCCCACCACATAGTTCTACAGAAGTGACTTATCTACTGAGATGAACATTAAGCCCAAAGTCCTTTTCTCATGACCTCAAGAACTTTTCAAGAACCTTTTTTTCTGGACATTTTGTCATCTGAACATTTAACCAGTAACCTTAAATCAGTGTGTAAGTCAGCCTTCTATCACTGTGACCAAAAAAAAATGTGAAAATCAAATTAATGAAAGAAAAAGGTTATTTTGGCTGTTTCAGAGGTGTTAGAGCATGGTTGCTTGACCCTGTTGCTTTGGGTCTATGGCAGGACAACACATCACAGCAGAAATGTGCCATGGAGAAAACTTCTTCACCTCTTGGCTGCCAGGATGCAAAAGGAGTGAGAAAAAGGAAGAGACCAAGGTCCCAATATCCCCTACAAGGGCACACCCCCAAAGACCTAACTTCCTCCCACTAGACCCCACCTCCTCCAAGTTCCATCACTTCCCAGTAATGCCAGAGACTCAGCCTTCAACACATGGCCTTTGGTGGGCATTTAGCATCCAAACTATAAGAACCAGTAAGAGTAAATATCCTGATACAGAGCCAATTCAATATTTGTTCTCTATCTGCTTTTAGTTTGTTTAGAGGATACACTTGACTCTCAGATGACAGAAATCCATGGACAGATTTTCTCTACATCTCTGATTTATTTGGCACATCTCCTTTCAGCTCTGAGTAACCTGGGGATGGGGATCATTTGCATATTTTAATTGTTCCCACAGAATTTCTGACAATATAAAGATACAGCCTGAACTTTTAAGATGCCCCTGGCTTCTTTTGTTCTTGTTTTCCACTCACATTTCTTTTCTCACTTATGGAATTTTCACTATGTGCCTAAGGGCTGGCTCAGACCTAGGTAGCAGGAGTTAAAGGTGTCTAAGAGGTAAGCCCAGCTTCAAGGTCCTTTAGCTAAAAGACAGAACCAGAAGCAAACAATAGTGTAGATTCTGAGGAGTGTGTTTAAATGCCACCAAAGCACAAGAGGAACTAATTCTCACTGCCAGGAGTAGCAGCAATGGTTTTTCAGAGAAATGGAGTTCTTTGGGTATGCTCTAATTATGATTAAAATACAGTTAAGAATACAACCAGAGAAACAAGTGGGGAAAGACCCATTCAGTTGTGGGACTGATGGGAATTATTTGTTTAAAACAATTTATAGTTTCTTTTTCCCCCTTTGATAACTTTTAGCACTACCATCTCTTGGCTCCAGCTTTGGGGTGAACTTTCCTGCCCTACAGAGATGAGAGAGAGCTTTTTCAATGATGCATTAAAGTGATTTTTAGAGACAGGGATAAGTTCTTCTTCCAGAAAACCAAAAGTTAGTACACAGCGAGCCATGGCTATGTGCCAAGGAAAGAGTGAGCTAACCATTCTCCCCACTCTTGTTCTTGATTCCCTCAGGTCTTTACCCAAGACGGGTCTGGGACTTGACGGGGTGCCCATGACCCCGGCGGTTGCTTCCCGTCAGCAATGAAAGGGTTATCGGGCAGCCGCAGCCATCACCACGGGATCACCTGTGATTCCACCTGTGACTCGCTGTCGCACCACTCGGACCGCAAGCCCTACCTGCTGAGCCCGGTGGAGCACCATCCTGCCGACCACCCTTACTACACGCAGCGGAACTCGTTCCAGGCCGAGTGCGTGGGACCCTTCAGCGACCCGCTGGCCAGCAGCACCTTCCCGCGACGGCACTACACCTCGCAGCAGGAGCTCAAGGACGAGTGCGCCCTGGTGCCCCGCACGCTGGCCACCAAGGCGAACCGCATCCCCGCCAACCTGCTGGACCAGTTTGAGAGGCAGCTGCCCCTCAACAGAGATGGCTACCACACGCTGCAGTACAAGCGCACCGCCGTGGAGCACCGCAGCGACAGCCCGGGTCGCATCCGGCACCTGGTCCACTCGGTCCAGAAGCTCTTCACCAAGTCGCACTCCCTGGAAGGGCCATCCAAGGGCAGCGTCAACGGGGGCAAGGCCAGCCCTGATGAGACGCAGACGGTGAGGTATGGCAAGCGCAGCAAGAGCAAGGAGCGGCGCACGGAGCCCAAGGCCCGATCCAACGCCTCTCCCACCTCCCCGGGCTGGTGGAGCTCCGACGACAACCTGGACGGTGACATGTGCATCTACCACGCGCCCTCGGGCGTGATGACCATGGGCAGGTGCCCGGATCGCTCGGCCTCGCAGTACTTCATGGAGGCCTACAACACCATCAGCGAGCAGGCGGTGAAGGCCTCCCGGAGTAACAATGACGTCAAGTGCTCCACCTGTGCCAACCTGCCCGTCAACCTGGACGCTCCGCTGCTAAAGAAGAGCGCTTGGTCCTCCACTCTCACCGTGAGCCGAGCCCGGGAGGTTTACCAGAAAGCCTCAGTGAACATGGACCAGGCCATGGTGAAGTCCGAGTCGTGTCAACAAGAACGCTCCTGCCAGTACCTACAGGTACCATTTCTGTCTAGATGCTTAGCAATCTTTCCTGGCTTAATTATGTGGTCTTTTCTCCTGGGGGCTAGCCTTGACTCTGCTCTGAGTTGTCCATATGAACTTGAGCAAATTATTTAGCATTTCAGTGACTAATTATAGTTGATAGCAAATGCTATCAATTCTATCTAGTTACCTAAAGAGACTAGCTACAGTGCTCAAAGGCACTCCTACACAAAGGGTAGAAGTCACTCACTTCCTGCATTCCTCTTTTGTCTAAGGGATCAAAGGATGGAGAAGAGAAGAAAGAATTTTTAAAATAGACCCACCTTTTTCTTAAAAAAAAAAAAAAGTAAACAATTGTCTTCCGAATTTTGGAAAGAGTTTTAATTAAATTTATACAAGGTTTGGCTTGGTTTTTCGAGGGGTTTTGTTATTGTTATAATCATATAATTCTGCCTGAAGCTATTCATTTCTGAAAATTGATCTACATCTTCACCCACAAACACCAACACCAATCACACACCCCCAGCTCCTGCCCCCAGGGAGGAGCAGAGCAGGATGATGCCCTGAGGAGGTGGAAATAGAGCCAGTTTAGGGAGCTGACAAGCACAGCTGCAGAGGCCAGGGACCACAGAGGAAAGGAGGAGGAGAAAGGGGAAGCATCCGTGCAATAAAATACAATTAGTGTCAGTGAGTTAATCCCACACATGCACAGACACAAGGCAGGCTGCTCTTCTTCCACCATCTCTTCATGTTTTTCCTTTGGGCTTCCAGCTCACTTAAACCAGATTCCACCTGGATAAAAATATTGGGAAACTGCGGGAGGGTCTTTTTCTTCTCTCTCCAGTATTGTAATTTTCCCAAGACACGACCTTCCAACATGAATGAACTTCATATTGTTTTCAGTGCATCTTTTTCCTCTATTCTCTCCTGCCGCCCTATCTTAAAAAAATAAAAATAAAAAATAAAAGGAAGAAACAAAGAAAAAGTTTCTACTGGACTATAAAAGTATGGCACGAACATTTTTACTTTTATCTTAAGAAGAGATGCAAAGAAAAATTCTTCCACTGAGTCCATTTTTTGACCTCTTTGAACTCCTTCTGAAAAATGTGGCTCCATTGGAAGCGTCACCCCAAACCCTGAGAATGCTACAGGCTAGCAGTTCCTGGGCAAGGACAGTGCCAAAGTCCAAGCCCAAAATTCAGAAGAAGCCGTCAGTTTCTAACTGAATTTTTTTTCCTTTGTATATTTTTTGAAGTCAAAATCTTGAATAGGGGTGGAAAGTGAAAGTATAAGTTCATAGTTTTTCACAAAAACACAGTTATGTGAGCAATATTTCTCATGGAAAGTGATATTGCCAGATTTCCTGTTAGGTTGCTGTACGCATTGAGAAGTCATCAAGAGGGGCTGGGGTTGTAGTTCAGTGGTGGAGCACTTGCCTAGCATGTGTGAGGCACTGGGTTCGATCCTCAGCACCACATAAAAATAAATAAATCAAAGGTATTGTGTCCATCTACAACTAAAAAAAATATTTATTAAAAAAGAAGACAGCAAGAGCTGTTAATATAGTTAAGGATCATCTACTCCACATAGAATAGAAAAAAAATGTAGACTCAAAAAACTGTAAAGGTTAGGTGGGTTACATCATCAACATGTGGAAGAGGTGGGACTGGAATCCAAATCTTTTGACTTATAGAAGTGACCATTATGCGGTGTGCAACTAAAGGATTTAAAAATTATTTAAATACATACAGTCTCATCCACCGCTGAAAGTAAAGTATTTGGATAAGAATTTTGGTCTTGGGGCTGGGATTATGGCTCAGCAGTAGAGCGCTCACCTAGCACAGGCAGGACGAGGGTTCGATTCTCAGCACTACATAAACATAAAGGCATTGTGTTGTGTCATCTACCAAAAAAAAAAAGATATTCTCTCTCTCTCTCTCTCTCTCTCTCTCTCTCTCTCTCTCAAAAAAAAGAATTTTAGTCTTGAAGAAAGGATAGGTAAGGAGATAGAAGTCCTAGAATGAGACACATTTTGTCTGTGAAGGTTCTGTGATTAATGACAAAAATAAAATGATTTTTTAAAACAACTATACTTGAATAAGCCATGGTAAGTTTAGATAAGAAATGAGAAGTATCAGATTTAAGAAGGAAAAAATAATACTAATACTGTATATGGATCTAGCACCACGAGCCTTGTTAGTAATGAATTTCTTTCATTATATTTGCATAATTGTCTATATTCTACTGACCCTAAAATTTACTTTTTTTTCCTTTTTTTCCTTTTGAAGTCAAAATCTCAAACAATTGGTAAAAGTGGAAGGATAAAGAAGATACTGAAGCTAATGTGCTCACACTTGCTATTTCATTCCCTGTTCATCATAGAGACCTGGCTGGGATAATTCTGTTTTGTAAATATTTATTTATAGGTGGACATAATACCTTTATTTATTTTTTTTAATGTAGTGCTGAGGATCGAACCCAGTACCTCACACATGCTAGGTGAGTACTCTACCTCTGTGCCACAACCCCAGCCCTGGGCTAATTCTATTTTTACAAAAGAGGAAACTGAGCCTTGGAAATACCAAATGATTAAAGTCCCATGACCTAGCAGTTGTAGAACTGAGATTTAGTTATAGATCTGTTCAATGCCAAAGCCAAAGATAAATGTGAGCAAATAAAAAATAAAATCTTTAGAGCTCAATTGTTCATATCCCTGGTTGTGTAATATGAATCGTAATATATTCCGCTGTCATATGTTAAAAATTAATTAATTAAAAATTGATTAATTAAAAAGAATTAGTATACAGGGCTAGGGCTGTAGCTCAGTGGCAGGGTACTTGCCTAGCATGTGTGAGGCACTGGGTTTGATCCTCAGCACCACATGAAAATAAACAAATAAAATAAAGGCATGCTGTCCATCTACAACTACAAAAAAAAATTAGTTTACAATAAATGTCAAAAATCCTATTGCCACTCAGAATTTTTATGCCTACTAATAGCTCAACTTTTTTAAATCTTATTTTGTTTAATATTAGTCTCTAAGGAATGAAAGGTCTTATTTTGTTTAAATAGGTCTTATTTTGTTTAATATTAGTCTCTAAGAAATGAAATCTACCAGATTACAGTATATCTATGTAAGAATATACCACAATGTATATAATTAGAATGCACTAAATAATGATAATGATAATACTAATAATCATAAGAAAAGGGAGATCAGTTGAGTAGAGCAAGTAGAACAGGGAAAGGAAGGGAGTAGGGAAAGGAAAAATAAGATATTAGGGAATGAGATTGATCAAATGATGCGCGTATATGAATGTGGCATAATGAATCCCGCTATGTATAATTATGAGGCACCAATAAAAATAACCATATTGTAAGAAACCAAAAGAATAAATAAAAATAAAATCTTTAAAATAAACATTTTATTACTAAAATCCTTCACCAAAATGAGAATGAGATCTTAAGTTTGGGATCTGGTATAGTAGCATTATTAGAGCTCCAAGATTTAAAGATACCATTCTCAAAGTATTTACCTTCTTTAAGCCAATTTTTAAAATAAAATATTTGAGAAAGATAGAAGGAAATAAGTAAAATAAAGCACACATCCATTTTTACATCACCCAACCAAAGAAATAAAACATTGAACTCAATGGCTCACATGTGTGCTCCCCTTGGTCCTATTTTCTTTCCTTTTCTTCCCAGAGTAATCACTAATCTAAATTTGATACCCAAAATACCTTTGTTTTTAACTCCTGAAATTATTGAGAGTTTGAAAAAAATTAACATTTTCTATCCTACATTGGGCAATAATTAATCCTGAACTAAGTTAATATAATCTTTTAAACATAAACTGAATTTCCAGTCACACCTTATTTAATAAATATTGATATTTATCGAGTCCCTAGTCTATGCAAGGCTTTCAGTATAATTCTATATTTAAATTGGGGGGGTAACATGTTAATAAGTTAAACAAGGTGGAGAACTGTGTGTTTTTCCAGCCCTGAATTATTCTTGTAAAAAAAATGGGAAAGGAGAGCTATATATTCACATAGAAGAAAGGGGATCAGAAAACGCCCACAGAGACCTGAGTTCCAGGCTTTCCCCCTGCCCCTTGCTTCTGGGAAATAAAGAGAGAATCTGCCATCCTGTGGAAACTCTTCTCAGGAAATAGGTGTAGCCAGTCCCAGTCAGCTCCTGTGGAATAATTTCCTTTATGAACTCATTCCTAAAAGCAACTTTGGAGAAACGGAGAGGGGATTTTTTTGTTTGTTTTTTTAGGAATAGTGCCTTAATTTCCAACAAATCTGAAGCTGTGTGTACAGTTTTGTTTAACATCAACTTACAAGGTTTGATTAGTGGGCATGCCATTGTCTACGAATTCTGTTCTCTATTGGCCACTACTACTACTAAGACGGGATAGAGCCATCCTTTTGGGTCTCTGGATCTCTTTCCCCTGCTAGAAAATGAGGCACTTGTTCTAGAAGGCTGCCATCTCAGTCCACATTTTTAAATTCATAAGTTACATATGCCAGAGTACTAATTAGAGAAATTTTCGAGAGTTGGAAGGACTGGGACGTTCACTTCATAAATGCCTACTAAAAGTGGATGATTTGCAAATGTTATCTAATTTGCTCTTTAAAACTCTAGAGGTATTTTACAGTTAAAGATCCTGAGATTTAGTAATTAGGTTAATTTACTAAGGGCATACTGTTAGTTCACCGCAACCTGGTGGGCCAGAACTGATTCTTCTGCCCTTTCAAGTTCAGATTTTTTTGCAGTGATCATGCCAAATCCTTCCAGATACAAAGCAGAGAGAGGAAGCGTGCATTTCATATATATATATATATCATGTGCCCAAAACCATCTATATCTCATTTAATGCTCAAAACAACTTTATAAAGTATTACTATTTACTTTGGTTTATAGACAGAATTGAAGTACATAGAATTAATTTAATATTAATGTCTTCAAATCCATGAAAACAAAGTGAATAGGAGAGCTAACAGTTGATC